GCCTTGGTTCTAACACCTATATGCCCACGAAGTCTATCTTTCCGACCCCTCGTGTTCCCATCGTCCTCGATCGTGACACTGCGAGTACGCCACCGATCCAGCTTTAAACCATCTCAGTGACTCATCACATATTATAGATAGGGGACAGGAGTCGAGCTCCGGCAGGTATATCCATGGACGGACGTTCTTCAACAATCTTGAATCCAGGTGAATCTGTGGTAATTCAAGCCTCGCCGTTCCCTGTCCCGTGTATCAATAGGTCGTCAATCATAACGTCATCGGATGCCGAGCAGATGCGCCATAGCGAAGGAGCAGGGCCCGGCAAGGAAGACGACTGGGTACGAGACATCAACAATCTGCTGCAGTACAACGCAACCTTCAGGAGCAAAGCCTTACTTCGGTATTCACGAACATGATACCCAATCTATTTGACATTGCCTAACCCAATTGGTTCGCCAGAATGAGGAAAGAAATTGGTCGATAGATCCGCAAGAAGTACAAACGAAATCGCATAGTCGAAGATCGGTTCTATCGAAGTCACAACACCGAGCATTACACTTGGCCAAAGAAAATATATATGACATTGCAATATTAAGCTAGGACAAGACAAGGGGCGTTCAAAACTATTCATTTATGTGTATACTAGTATAGCAATGGCGATGGCGCCTCCAGAAGAATCGGAATAATAATAATGATAATGCACTGTTATACAATTACTGTCCACGAATGAAGTAAATGCTAAAATACTAGAAATACAGTCTCCTAAAACAACTTGCCGATCCAAGAAGAGACCGTGGACGAACCACCCGAGCGACGTTTGGCTTCCTTGGCTTTCCTCTTCTCCTCCTTCGCAATGAGTCTGTTGTAGTAATTTGTGGTATCAATCTGACGCGCAAGCTGCGCACGCCTCTTCTCCGCGTGATATCCAGTGGCCTTGTCGAGCAAGGCCTTTTCGCTCTGAAGATATCGCTTGTTTTTCTGTCGAGAACCAGAAGACGTCGTGCTCGCTGTGTTCTGGGTTGACAGATTGGGAGCGGACGACACAGCGAGGATTGACCTCCTGAGGCCAGATGACGAAGACAATCCGTGCGTTGTGATCTCGGCAGTGAAGCTTCCGTCAGATGAACCTATACTTTGACAAGAGCAGACGCTCGACCTGTTGGATGTCGTGAAATAACCCGACGACTCGAAGGAATCCACCGCACGAGTTCTGGCGGACGATAGCTCGCTGTCGGAGTGGTGTCCTGAGAGTAGAGGGACATCCAGATAAGGCGCGTTGTCTTGGTTAGGACGGGGAATGGGGAGGATGGTGACTTTAATGACCGCATCCGCATTTCTGAAGTTGGACTTGTAGAAAAATGGCCAGGCGGACTCTGTGATCTGGCACTGTGAACCAGAGGGACCCGAGGTTTCAACAGAGAGTCCAATTAAGGCTCGAGGTACTTTGAGAAGTTTGGGACACGCTTTAAGCAGAGCATCGACTGTGGTCTTGGGTACCCATTAGATTGAGAGAAACTGATTCGAATTTGTTCTCCTGCGACATACCTTGTAAGAATCAGTGCAGACTACCTTCACGCTCTGAGAGCGATATAGAAACGTTAGAACTTCATCGGACCCTGAGGGAGACTCTACTGGTTCCATGCTGTTGGCAATGAAAGGGGAGCTTCGGTCTTTGGGAGACGACAACATGGTAGTAAGTAGAATATGGGGGTGTGTAAAGAAAGTGAGGAATCATTTTCTGATCATCCGTTCCTTTATAAGTCCATCCGTAGTCTATCGGACAATGCGTTCTCATGAGTAAACATGTACGGGTTGTTGTTGGAAATGGCCCGTATTAGATTAAAGCGATGCTTTTGGCTGTTGGCCACTGAATGGCTGTGAGGGCGGAGGCCAGATCTTATGTCCCATTATGGCAATACCTGACGGGTTGTTGTCATGTAACGAATCATTGCCGCGTGGCAATGTCGGGCGTCAAAGGCAAATAAGGACAGCCTTGGCACAGTCCCTTTCACTCCATGACTCTGAATGGCTGCAACGCCGGGTTACCGGAAATAAAACGTGTATATCAAACGAGTGCATTCAATGAGACCAATTCCGCATTTCCATTGTCGACTCTCTAACTCAGTTCGTGCAGTACAACCACCATTCAGACCGTCATGTTTTCATTTAAGTTACAGATATGCATGGATGCAGTGGCCGTACAGCAACGAATAAATAGAAGCCACCTTCAACATTACATATAAAATTCAATTGTCCTCGCAGTAAAATACTACACTATGCATCGATGTCCGCAAGCATGGAAAATAGACCTTTGGAGGCCATGCCACCCTTCTTATGTGGACTAGCAACGGGCGTAGGTGATTGGCTACTTTTTGCTGATTTCGACTTTCTGGCTTTTTTGGTGCGCTCTTCCTGGAAGAAGTCCTCCATTCCCTCTTGACCTGCAGCGAATACGGCTGCAGGAAACGTGTCAGGTATCGAAGAATGCGTGCTCAAGAGGCGGTGGAAATGCATGCCAGAAAAACGTTGCAGACTGAATGGCACCTGGTCGGTCAGTAGAAGGACCTGAACCAGCTCTTCCACTGCTTCTAATGCCGCTAAAATCTGTGCAGTGAGTTGAATGTTGCGATCCTGAATAGGTGGGAACTCTTCTTTGCTCATGACATTGTGCGGTGTGGAGTTAGTAGAGCATGCGGCGAGGATGCAAGCAGCCTCTCTCTTTGTCCAACGCTCCTTTTCCCTGTCCCAACTCCCCGTGTCTTTCCATCGTAAGTGGATAGTCGAGACTACCCAACGGAGAGCTAGCACGGGGACTATAGACTCGGGCGCGAGCTGTCGTATAGAGGGGACATCGGACCGCAGGATACGGAGAAGAACGGTCATCCTATCCTCCTCTGATCGCAGAGTCAACGGAGGCGCGTCGTCGATGCTGTATTCGGCGAGCTCGATGGATCTAAGTTGATCGCATATTGACGGAACACGGATTTCTTCGGACGCTATTCTGGTGCCGCGGCGAATGTATTCTGATATGATCACTAGTCCAGTGCTAGGGGATTGGTGTGACAGAACAGAGGCGGGTGGCTCTGAAATCTCGTCATCGGACGGGTGAAGCTTGTAAAGTTCACCTTTCAGTGGTGCAAGGTAATCGGGGGCATCGTCTTCACTATCTGACTCGACAACATCGATTAGCTCGTCTTCGTCGTCATCCTCTTCTGAAGGTTCATCCACACTGCCCTCCATCACGCTGTCTGAGTCACCAACAGAAGATGGTGGGAGCCCTAAAATGTCATCCAAAATGGCATAAATCCACTGACGTATTGGTGCTGCTATGCTTCTCTGAACAGTTTCAAGATCTGGATTTTCTAGGAATAGGCGAGGCCAAAATGAGGCGGTATTGAGGGTGTCCATAAGCTTTGCCTCCAGCGTTCCTTGTCGATATGCATCCAAGTATTTCTCGCGAGCTTGGAGTAGCTGAGGGTTGCTTTGGTTGCTCTCTGCTTGCCACATAACTCTCCGAGAAATAAGCGGGAGGAATCCACATGATTCAGCCTGGTGCAATGCACAAAAACTGCTTTCCCAGAGACCTTCACGACCAGGCGTTTCTCCTGCATATTTTGGGATGGCATATTGAAGGGTGGCATTTACAATTTTATCGATGATGGCGTCAATCTCTCCGGATCCAAGGGTGCCAACGTGTCGCACAAGAAGGTTGTTCACTGTTCTATCAATGAGGTCCATGACGCTCCCGACCTGATGTTTGGCTTTTCGGCGTGGTCCGTCTGGCATCAAAACCTCGTGAATGGCGTTGGCTACTTTTTCGATACGTTCCGGTAGGCTGAGCTGTCGCTCAAAGAACAGAGCCTGTGTGCGGCGCGTGGTGGAGTCGCTGTCTCGCGAAAAGTCATTGCCCACCAAAGCAGCAAGCAGCGGCAAGAGGCCAACAGGAATTCGCAAATGACTGGCAAGCGTTTCGGGGCTGTATGATATAAAGGACATCGACAGGTCTTCCTGACTCTCCGCAGGGAAACTTCCGCCAACAAAAGCAGACTTCTGAGCAGGTTTGGCTTTGGCCTTGGGTTTCTTGACGGTCTGAAAATCATCGTCATCGTCGACAGAGGGATTCAGCTCATCTTCCGGTGGAGCAAATTGCCATACCAATTCATCCAAAGGAATGTAACCCCGGTACCCACTCGAATTGAATATGACAAAGTCCGAGTCATTTCCAACAACATAGCCTTCCAATCTACCTGCGAGTTCAACGGCATACGGATCCCCTTCTTCATCGGCAAAATGAAGCTCTAGCTGTTCAGATCGCAAACTTTGAAGAACCTCGACGCACACAGCATAAGCAAGTGGAGGAAGAATCCTGTTCTCGCGTAGAAAGCGGCCATTTGCTCGTGAAACCTCTGAAGTTCGGAAGAAAAGTTGCCCAGGACGAACGCGGGACTCAGTCATCCGAGATATAATTGTTGGAAACTTTAGGTCCGGACATGGTCCTGTAAAGTGACTTGTAAGATTGTAGACAACAAGTATGCATCATGCTCGTTCTCACCATCGAAGACGAAGAAAATTTGCAACCCGACCTTCATCCAAGACTCTACAACATGTCTGACAAGGCGAGAGAATTCGGTATATTCACCACCATAGACCCAGGGAAGGTTGAATGTGTTGTAAATGTGGTAGATAAATCTTTGTAGAGAGACGTCAAATCAACGTCTAGATGAGGACGAGGTCCACTCACGACCACCCATCCACGACAATAGGGATAGATTGTGGATGGCTTGACGTGACCAATTTTGAGGCTGAGAGTAATCTTTGTTTTTCCCTGAGATAAGTGGTTAAGCCATGAACCCCCATGGCTTCAAAGAAAATGGAATGATGGTGGTTGCGTTGAGAGTTGAGAACTTAAGATTATATTGGTCTTGTGTATCGGTATCATTCCGAGCGCTCAATTCTTTGATCCGAGAGTCTTGTTAGTCAGACAAGAAAGCGTTCTCATGGGCAACGTGGCCGAGTGGTCTAAGGCGCTGGAATTAGGTACCCTCGGGTCTCTCCTCATCCAGTCCGAAAGGGCGAGGGTTCGAACCCCTCCGTTGTCAACAATAACAGATTCTGAAGTTTCAGATTCGCTTTTTTGTTTTTGTTTTCGCTTATGTTCCAGACGTTTGATTCAAATACATACCCCTCGCAATCAATTAATGACAACTTGTCATAAATCCACACTCAGTTGGTGATGACATTTAGGGAGCCACGTCGCGTCCTGACTGTAAGTCAGAGATGTTATGTATATATCGTACATCATCCATCTATATTCAAGTATAATTTAAATGTCCAATGAGTACGATTATCTAAAAAGTAGCCGATTTCTACGTATATGCTCGAGAATAAAATAATAAGTTATAAAATTGTCCAGTTGATAATGACCCAAACAATCACCGCCGGCCAGAAAACCTCCAGGAAATCCACCAGTGCAGAAATTGGACCCCCACGTCGTCTCCTTCGCAGATTCATGGCATCTAGCGGTGTACTAGGTTGCTGAGAGGCGTTTGAACCAACGTGAATCCCACATAGATCAAGAAGGTTGTACAACGACGACATGGAGTAAGATGAAGATAGAAGAAAAGCAGGGGGAAATTGTAAATGTATCCGTCGTCGCCTATTGAGCAAAGTGAATGTAAAGGTACGTGTAAAGATAGGCGAGTATCCGCGTGATTTGGGGCGTGAGCGAGATGGTGTTAGATCAGTGGTTGAGGGTATTTGTGGTGGAGCAGGTGCCGGAGCAGATATGAACTCGGCCGCAGGTGCTGGCAACAGTGACATTGAAGAACGTACACTGCTAATGCCTGCGTCAGAAATGTGCCCGAGCCGAGAAACGAGCTCAAAGTCTTCCTCTGTTTCATCTTGGGAGCGGCGATCTCCACGCGAATGTACGTAGTGGCTAGGTAGGCGTCGTGGACTACTGATATGTGGCCAGCTTTCTTCATCTCTGCGTTTGACAGTCACGTATTGGCTAGGATACATTGTGTCGTCCTCATCTTCTTCGTCGAGATTCACATACATGTCTTCGTGCCCCGTAAGAGATCCTATGACGGACACAGGGGATGCCGGAATCGGGGTAGATGACCGGGAGACAGAAGGAGAGTGCGGTGCTCGTAAGTGAGAGGGTAAACCAAATCGAGGGCTGGACGGTTGTGGAGACGACCATCCAGTAGATGATGCAGCACTCCAAGGGTTGAGTTTCCCTTCCGCATAGAGAAATGGCGCACTGGGACTACTTCGCCCACTGCTTCGAGGTGAAGGGGTCAAAGACAAGGTGAGACCATTACTCGAAGGATGTCTTCGCTGCTTAGTTCGTGAGTTAGATCCAAAAGGGCGCAACCCGGTGCGTAAATTGAGGAAAAATAGGATGATAACAGTGACCACAATGCATGGCCCATAAAGGGAAGTGTATATTCCATACTGGTCAGGGAGAAGGCATAATGTGTCTTTGAAGGATGCGTTGGGTGAAGAACCCAAGACAGGGTCGATGAGAGAAAGTAGTTGGAAACCAGGACGTCGAATATGAACAGACATTGAGAAAGATTTGACTGTGACCTCGCGTATTCTCGCTGCATGAGTCGTCTCCAGTGTCTTTCCAATACCGGGGAGAACGTGTGTATAGTCACAGTAATCACGGTTGTCGGCACTGAATAAAGGCAATTATTAGAGATCACCCAAACATCTGGACACAAAGCAGCAGCAACAACGCATACCTGAAAATGACGGACGGTTGAAGGTTTTTAAGCAGGAAATTTGTTGTCTGCTTGCCCAGCATGCTTTGGTAACCAGGTCCTGCTCCTCTCCTGATGCTTCCTCGTTCACGGAAAGGGCCACAGGACGCAATCTCGGACCGGGAAAGAGGAATGTGGCTAAGGAGTATTACATTCCCGCCTGGGTTATCTGAAGTATTATTTAGCATCAAGGTTGCAAGGCAGCAAAACAAAGAATACCATCTGCTACTTCCTTCACGAACGCGATAGGGCCGTTGGGCACGGGTTTCCAGTTATCAAAACTGACGAACTTTCCATGACGAGCATAATCCTCGTCCACCACGGCCGGCGCATCGAGTCCAACAAAGGTATGATTGGCAATTCGAAATTGTCGGTTGAACGAGCCGAAGGTTTGTTGATAATATGATCGAATATGATGACCAAGTTGCGAGGTTGCACCGAGGCTGTATATCGAGTGTCCGTTAGGTACTTTCCAGAAAAACAAGGTGACATTATAACAAACCCGACGTCGTTATTCCCTGGGATATAATACACCTTGGAGCCCTGAGGAGGTGTAAAAATGGATTTGAATTTTTGAGCGGCCTGTTGATACCTAAGCAGGCAACAGTTTTTTAAGTACCATTGGGCATAGAGTCCAAGGGAAACATACTCTGCAAGGCTCATAGCGGCCTTTCCATTGGCCAGCATGTCTCCAAGGAATATGATAGCATCTGGCTGCAGTCTCAAAGTTACTCGCCAGTTTTTGCGCAAGTTCAGCTCAAAGAGAATATGTCGAATTGGGTTAGCCCACGCGCTATCTTTAGAGAGCAGAACAGAATGATGGATCTGCGGGTCAGCCACAAGAAGCACATGCGAAGGTGTAGAATTCTGTTCCGGACTCTGCTACTCCCATATATCTGTTAGAAAGCGGTGGGAATGAGGTCCAGAAAAGCAGACTGACTTTGCCGAAATTTAATTCAGGCCAGTTACAGCCGGAAAGACTCCAAAAAAACGCGCCTAACTCTCCAGACAGAACAATGACCACCCAAGCGAGACGAAGGGTATTAGTGATTAATACATGTTGACGAGATATATAGGGGCGTTGGATTGGCTGATACGCGTCTGACAACATGGATGAGCAACAACCTCATTGGATTGCAGCCAAGACATTCTTTGTTGTCCAAGACAGTGAAACTTATTTGGTTGTGTTTTGGCTGACGCGCCAATAATTCTTATTACTATTAGATTCTATGTAACCTCCCGTTCACTCTCAATCCGTTTACTACGTTGATTGGTGTATATCTACCATTGTCAGATCATTTCATCCCTCAATTGTACTTGGGAATGCAGAAACACGACGCTCTTTGAGATTCAAACCATTCCTCTGTCTAAATGTGCTCTTCTATTAGAGCCTGCACAAAATCACACCCACCAAACTTCGATCGAGTTTCAAGCACAACCTTGTACTCGAGGGTCTTCTTGTTTTGCCAACCTAAACACTCATGGGTCTAACACGTCTTCTTATATTATGCTGCAAACTTTTCGTCTCGCTGTTCGTTTTCGTCGCCGTGTTGGACACAACCAACCGGTTATTCATCGCCCCAATTATTGACTCGCTGCTTTGTGCTCTGCATCTCAGAACGACGGCCCAAGTAACAGAACAGGAATTGCTAGCCTTTGCACTGGATCATTCAGATGTGCTCTCGGCAGAAAGGCTTGTCCACCCTCAAACAAATACCACGACCGGTTATCCTTGGAGATCCTCCCAGCACATCCTAGACCACAGACTTGGACATGTTGAACCCGCCTTTATCGATCAAAACAGGATTTTGTCAAAGTTGTTCTCTGGGTCTATGCAACCGTCAAACATTGTTCCTTACTTTTACCGTGCAAAGCGAAGCTTCAACAAGAACGCTATTACTATAACTACACTCGTCACAAGCAATCGCCTAGAAGTTTTTTCGCGCTTAGTGGAAAAGTATGAAGGTATCTGCGGGTCTTGACTCTATTTTTCTTTATTTCGTCACGACTAAATCATATTTAGGACCCATCTCGGTTACGGTTCATATAAAGAACCACACGGAGCACGTCCAAGAAGTGCTAGACGCCCTCCATGAACTTTATCTATCATCGCCGAAGATGGCGTCTTCAGTTGATATTCACATCGTGGTCGACGCCTTTGACCGACAATTCAATACATGGCGAAATATTGCACGGATCTTCGCTCGGACGGACTTTGTTATGATGCTGGATATTGACTTTTACCCATGCACCAATTTCGCATCGTTGTTAGAGACGAATTTTGTGGATGCGACCATTAAAAAGAAAGTGATGGAAGGGCGCGGTGCCTTGGTTGTCGCTGCCTTTGAATATCTTGATTTTCGAGAGGGGCAAAATTCCTCTGCCTTCCCCTCCAATAAACCGGTAGACAATTAAATGAGCCGCATTGACATTATGCTCACTTGTCGCACAAGGAATTACTCGCTCTCATTAAGACAAGGAAGGTCGACATGTTCCATGCGTCTTGGAGCCCTGGGCACAATAGTACCAATTACAAGAAATTCTATGCGGCCGCTCCTGGCGAAATGTACAAAGTGACACGTTATCAACCAGCGTACGAACCATATGTTATTTTCAAGAAGGATATCCCTGCGTGGTATGCGTCTCCTATCACTTGTTCCCGTGCCCACTCACACTCTGACAGGTGCGATGAGAGATTTGTTGGATATGGGGGTAATAAAGCGGCGTGCCTCTTCGAGATGTATCTCTCTGGAGTTTCGTACTACGTGCTGTCGGATCACTTCATCATTCACCAAAACCATCGATACGAAGAGAAGATCCGCGAGGAAGAAGTAGGTTTATTCTTTCGCTATTTTAACCCAGAACTTACCAGTGTCTAGAGAAAACATAATCGCAAAGTGTATCTCAATTTTAAAGAAGAAGCGTGCCTGAAGTGAGTATTTTTTCTATTCTACACCACTCTTCCTTGAGGTATTGAATAGTGCTTTTGCAGATATTTGAAGCGGTTCTACCACTTGGGCGCGATCAATTCGAGCCAAGCTGAGAATGCTCTTACAGAATGTAAGAAAATTAAAAGCTTTGTTAAGCTCGCACCATTGGTAAGCTTTGTCTTTCTCCATGGGGCACTCACTTACAGCGCTACTCTCAGTATATCCAAGACAAGCTCTAGTATGAGCGCCTAATGACACCGCTGTCGTATCTTTGTGCACGTATGCAGATACATGGTGTTCTTCCGCTATCAGACGTGTTACATGTGGATTCACACATAAAACCAGAAATGTAGCAGGTGGTGGTGTATGAAAGTGAAGGCTGTCGGAAGCTCGTACCGA